ACACAGCTTTTATTAGTAAACAGTTAAATTATTTAGTAATTTTACATCTCATGTATGCACATTATAAAGTTCAAGAATACAGGAAGCATTTTTTACAAAGTAAATGTGAAAAATGTGCATATAGGAAGTCTATGCCCCGGCCTGCTACAAGACAACACAACGTATTATATAGTATAAAGCTTCAACAGGGGTAACACTGTGTTTTTGTGAACAGCATCCTCATTGAACCAAATCTGTGTTATTTCAGGCAATGGGCTTTTTGTCCAGTCTGATGGTCTCGTAGGTGTCAGTACTGTGGGTGGTCAGACCCTGCAGGACGCAAGCAGACAGACACACATACTGTGAAGTGGCACAAAATTGATGTGAAAAGCTGCTCTAAAACGACACTGTTCATTTCCTGCACTGACTGAAGTGTGATTTTGTGACAACCAGCGAGATGAATTAAAAAAAGAAAAACATCTACTGTGCAATGTGCTGTCACTTTTCCATCATGTGCCATTTTAAATATGTTTTTAAGCATTAGAATGAGAAGTCTCACCGCATAGATGCCTCCCCCGGCGGGTTGTTTCTGTGTGAATGGAAATAAAGACATGATCAAGAGTGCGTTCAGGGGCAATTCTTTCAACTACGTGTTGGACATGTGAAATAACTGGATGCTTCTTTGGGTACTGACTGGTATTTGGCAGTCTTTTTTTTTCATTTACTCTAAGATTTTGAGATATGAGTAATGTGCAAATCTAGCCCCTTTTTACAGGAAGTGGGATCTGACACTGTTACTTGGTGCGAAAAAAACACTGATGGAAACTGTGACGACATACATAGAGTATAAATAATATAGGTCGGTGGTCAGCTTGCTTACAGGAAATTATAAAAAAAGGGTTGGTGTTTAAGCTGAACTATGATGTTACAGAGAAAAAACAGCTTTGACACGCTAAAAAAACCCCTTTTCTATACACACACTTCTGTTTATATTAAATTCCCCATTTCTTTATAATTTTACGCAATAACACAGACTTAATTTTACCTCTGGGTAACTGCCAGATGAGCTGCTGGACGGATGCATCTGTCAAAAAAGAAATAAAGCATGTGATTGGGTGACTCCCATTGTAGTTTATTAATCATGTGAAATGTTGAAGAGGATGTAAAATGATTCTAGATAATTGACTCAAAAGAATGCTCGTACGCTATTACAAGGAACCACAAGTTTTAAAAACGTTATCTAAAGAAATTGAGGAAGTTTTATAAGAGTAACAGAACATTTGCTATACTTTTTGCAGCCTAACATAAAGAGCAACTTTAAACAAACTGCTGCATTTAACTGCATTTCCTTCACGCACTGTCTAGAAGGAAGAAGGAACAGCTGTACACTTTCTACAGTCCATCATGGCGATCTGTGTGTGTGCGTGTGTGGTTCCTGTTTGCCTTACCCTCAGTCTGCAGTACAGCACGGTGAGGATGATGCCATATAGGATGAGAATACCATCCAGGATAAAACATATATCCATGCCTTCAATGCTGTCTGTACACACATAACACACACTTAGTTGCGATCGTCGACACAGCCAGAAGAAAAATGTTAAGAGACACTAACTCCGTGTCATCCCTTTTCAATGCCACAGGTATCTCAAAAGTACTCCTACTAGAGCAGGATCAAAAAGAGAGCAATGAGTGCTCTTACCGGGTGGGCTGAAGATAAGATGGTTGATCTGCTTTGTTTTTCCCCTTGTAGGCTGTCAGCGAGGTGTCTTATACTCAGAGATGAGAAGCAGCGAACAGGAAGTCAGTGGCTCTCTGTCCGTTTTGAAGCTATGAAACCACACGCCTACCGCACTGCCATCCCCCAACTTGACAGAAGTTCCTCTAAAACTCTTGTGAAAAACTGGTGAAAATTGTTCACATCCAAAGGCCCAAATCGGCCTTTGGTAACAGCATTCAAGAACAAATTCTTATTAAAGCAAACCAAAATGATCAAATGCAGATATTAATTTTCTTCAACCACATTAAAAAAAAGAAGTTTCAGCTCCTTTTGCTTCTTAGCTTCAGTCACATGTTTTGCTTTACAGACTAAAGTTCCCCATGCTGCAAGTTAGGAAACGAGGAGACTTGTAAGTAATAAATGGTTTAATAATGGAAAAAGCCTAGCACACTATACAAGCTACAGTTACCAAAAAGAACAAAATACAACACAGATCTACAATTTTTTTTTTTACATTCTGAAAATTGCATCATCATAACTTAGGCACCGTAAAAATGATAGAAAACAACTTATTATAAAAAGGATTTGGAGCCCAAAATAAATCTATGCATGCATTCTTTTGTTCGTTTGTTTTTTTTGTTTGTTTGTTTGTTTTTTTACAAAAATCAGATGAAATATCGAACAAATCGGACCTGGTGTTTGTTTGTTTCATTTTTCAGAAATGTGAAGGACTTTTTAAAACCGCATTTGACAAAAACAGTCAGCCTGCTTTTGTCTGTTTCTGTGGCTCAGCATGTGGGGTGGAAACATCGGGTTAAGTATCGGGACCTGCAGACGAAGGGGTGGGGGAGTCGGAGTCTGCTGCTCCTCCACATCTGGAAACTAAGGCTGAGGAAAGGTCATAGGCAGCATGTTCACTGTGCCCGTTTCAGCTCGTGGCACAAGGCGAGGCGGTGATAAGCTACTGCTGCAGAGGAGCTGCAGAGAAGCTGCAGAGAGGAGTTACAATCACATGTCTGGTTTGGGATTCTTGTAGATATGCATGTAAAAAAAAAACAACCCATAAAACCACAATAAGCCAGCTCATAGTTAAACTACAGCTGCCACATCTGGATTCATTTAATTGTGTAAGAAGTGTGAGACTGACTACATTTACACCTGGTATTACACTGTAACAATACACTATTATTTCGCTTCCAATATTAATAATCAGGGCATTTTCCGATGGACTGAGGTTTTATGACAGATGAGCGCCTGCACACAGTGACTCAAAATGCTGTTATCTGATTATTAGGGTGGCTTAGAGTTAGTGTGCAGGCGGAACTTCTTCTGCAGAATCTAAATATACCCTCGATAATGCAGCAACTCTGTCGGTATCTGTTAAGGAAACTCTTGAAACATGGTTGCACAAACAGTTAACTTGAATTTAGCACAGAGTATGCTTTTTTTCCCCCCAATCAGTCACGGAAAATCTGCAGATTTTATCGCTTAAAATGCAAAGATTCTACCAGCATTTCAACATATCGGACGCGCAGATCGCATTTGCATTAAAGAGTGAGGCTGGTAATACTCTTGTTTTTCATATTGTCAAATAAAAGCCATAAAAAGACCAAAAATACCCCCAGTCAATTATTAACCCCCCCCCCCAAAAAAAAGATCACCGATACATCAGGTTAAAATCCACTAGTACACATATTTCAGTATCAGCATACACGTTGCTTTGATACGAGCTGATATCAAGACATATTTTTAGTTTGTCCATTGGAGAGACTCTGACTAGCAGACAGAACATAAAGCGCGAGTATAACTTACTAAAGAATCTAATATTCTGAAAATATCAGCCATTATGTGATATTAGAAATGTTTTACTCTGTAAAGAGTGGCATCGGCCTGTTACTGGCTCCAGTTTTTCCATTGCTGTGCGATTTATTCTTCCACTCACGCCATCCTGCTGCCAAAAATACTCAATTGTATCTAAAAGTAACCAGCTACAAATAGCACTGAGTAAATCCACTTACTACTTAGGCATGAGTAACATTTCCAAAAACATAGTATCCATGAGTTAAAAAAAGAATAATAACAGCATAATGCATGTATAAGTTGTTCTTAGGAAGTAGCAGCAATGAATAGATTCCAAGTAATGACACTCGAGACGAGTGCACTGTCGGTCTTTTTGCTGGATTTGTTGACAGTATGAAAAATTCAGAACACCGTCAAGCTCACACTTTAAGATCCTCACGCAAGTAATGTTCAGAATCTCAGTTAATACCAGGTGAAAATGTCATTTTTATTCTGTAACACGTCCTGCTAAAACGGTGACATCAATAGTAAAAGTACCAGTGTTAAATAAACTAAAGCTGCATATTTAAACAATCATGAACATACAGTTTGGAGTTGCAGTGAGTTAGGAATGTACTTCCATTTTGCTTAATAGTCACATAAATTTTTTTTAAAAAAAAAGGACATACTGGCCCTTCGAGGCCACAAGAGAGAACATGTTAACTCACTGCACAAAATGCTACATTCTGAAAGTTAAAAAGTCACTCCTCTAACATATATATGTAAAAAAAAACAACAACAACAGTCCTGCTTATGTTAAACACAACGACTGACAGGGGACCAGAGGGCAGTGGTATATCAGCGTTTGCAGTCAGAGCTGAAATCCAGTTGGACTGATTTTTAAGACACAAATAAGAGGAAGTGACACATGTGATGTAATCCCCTTCCTCTGGTGTTTACGTGTTGAGTCAGCACAGTAAACTAGTCCAGTGGTTACAGCAAAAAGAAGAGGCAAAAGGAGGAAAAGTCCCCGTTTAGAGGAGCAAAGAATTTTACAGTGTGCCGTAAAGACATTGTCAAGAAAAGAAAAGGTCAAGGCATCGGTTTACTTCCAGGGTTTGAACAATCGTTGAGCTGATCACAGTCTGACGCAAAGCATCTGTGATGATCACAAAACAGGAAGGATGAGGCCCGCAGAGATGTTCCTCTCTGAATGGTTTGTTTGTTGATGAGAGGGGAAATGATTGGGCGAGAATAGACCACATGGCCTCCGCATGTCCCACCGCATCAGTGATCCAGGAGGAGTTAGCACGAGGGGAGAGGAAAGTGTAGGAAAAAGAAGACGTTTTATTGGACGCCTTTACACCGAGGTCTCAGACTGCAGCCTCATGACGAACTTGTGGCTCTTTGGGTCGATGAACTCCTCCCCGAGCCGCAGGAAGGGGAGCGGCGTCACCGTGACAACAAGGGAGAAGTCCAGGCGTCGGAGGGAGAAGACCAAACCGTGACGCAGGGCTGAGGTCACCGGCTCCTCGCTCACCAGAGTCCACTGGCGCCCCCTACCGTTCTGCTGCTGGTACTGCATGGTGGGGCCGGCGGTGAGGTAACGCTCCAGGAAAGCCTGAAAAGGAGGATGTTGGAGTTTAATCACCAAGGAAACACCATGAAGCACTTACCTACATTTACATCACTAATGATGCGGCATTGAAGATCATTTCATTGATCTACACTGTCCGCTAAAACAAATAAAATAAATACTATCCTACAATAATTCTGCCTTTCTGTAGTGGCAAAGATCCCCTTATTGTGTTGTATTTATTTTATATTTAATTAAAGTGGCTCTGTCGTGCAGTGGTAACATATTTGGCTAACACTAGATCCCTGGCATCTCCTCTCGAGACCGAAAGGAAGCACAAATCCCTCGGACGGGCCATGTTGGGATGGAAGGAGCATCCATACCAGATCAAATATGCACATTGATCCAGTGTGTTGACCTCTTGTGAATAAGACAGCAACTGATAGAAGCTGTTTTGTTTTTTAAATAAAAGAAAGTGTCCGAAAAAGAGAGAGTATTCAGGAGTAAAGGTAGGTACATCTGCACTCAATGAGGGACTGTTTGGGGTTAAATAGCAAAAAATTAATAAATAAAACCATCCTTATGGTAAATAATATAGAAGGGTTTTGATAATCAATAGAAAGTATCTATACACACAGGACAAGACTGAAAACAGTATCAAGTGGCTGCTATCATCAGGGACTTTGGCGCCTCTGAGTTAGAGATGTATTCGATTCTCTAGTAGAAAATTCTGTTAAGAAACAGCCATCAATACTCAAACATGTTTAAAACAAAACAAACAAAAAAAACCAACTCCACAAAGACCAACAAACAAATCTTTTAATATCAATTAGGCTGTTTGCTGTATTGGAATTATTGACGACTCACCTTGGGCGTCATGTTGTGCGTGATGCAGAACTGAAGGTGTGTGAGGATGCTCTCCATACTGTGGAAGGCCTGCTGCCGTGTGGTTCTCAAGTACTTCTGCATGGCCCGGGCCATCGGGGCAAAGATGGCTTGGGCTGCCTCTCGAGGATCCATTACCTCTCTGGGGTGCTTGGGAGATGAGGCCACCTCTTCCTCTTGGAGGCGCTTGATATGCGTGAAGGCCTCTTCCACTGCCACCACCAACCTATTAGAGTAACAGAGGACTGTGGTGTCATACCCAACAGATCAAAGATGAAAAACCGAAAAGTTCTGCAGGTGATAAATGGCCCTCGAGGCCGACGAGGAGCGTGGAGTGTATCTGACCTGGCCTTCCGTTTGCGGACCCTTCGGTCCATCTCGGCCTCCTCGTAGTAATACTCGTTGTGGGAGTTGTCTCTCCGTCTGGCAGCAGCTGCTATCATGGCCCGGGACTGGCCTGTGGAGTTATTGGTGGTGTTTTCTGTAAGACCGAAGGGGGGATTATTGGACTGCACATTAGAACTCAGACAGGTAGTTTAAGGAGTTCTTTATGTTTCCCGTTCTTGCTGTAAAGCCACCTGCTTCTGATGTAGACCAACAAACGGCAACGAAAATTAAAGAAAAAACGATTTACTTTTGGATTAAAGACAGACGTCAGAGCCAGGACGAAACTATATTTACCATCCAGAGAGTAAACTTTGAAGCCTGTCATCTTCTTGGACAGGATGGACTTGGGCAGGTTGAGGAGAGCTGGGTTATAGACGGGGAAGTCGCTGTAATAACGGTCCAAAACCCAGACAGCTGCCCGCTGGATGCTAAAACACAGAGTATCTGTCGTCAGTGTCACAGTAAGTACAGGTCAAACAACAGCTGCTGACTGCACAGCGGACAGGCTGCAGTTAATACAGACGTAAATGTAAACTATATCTCAGCACCTTCCTCACATTTCTGCCTTTGATGGTGATCTCGTTTAATGTCACACCTCAACTATTACTTTAAAATAAGATGCACTGATGTTCGGACAGTAGAATGCATCCCCTCACATCTTCCAAACTGTTTTTTGGTGTAGTTTAATATTTACCTAGGTTTTGTGACACTTCCGCTTTAAAGTTAATAGATTTATTGTTGTTGAAACTAAGAAATGTTTCAACAACAATAAACATATGCAATATGCTAAGAAATATATGCATATTTGTACCAAGTCCATTGGGATAATCAGAATAATTGAGCATATATTATATTTCCATTAAACAGTTCTTGACCACCAGAATCACCAAAACCATGGAGTCCTGCCAGTGTCACGTTTTTTTATATTTCACTGAAATCTTACAAAAGTTACTTAAAATAATGCCCGTGTACATGATGTAGGTGTGACTGCTGGGAATGGATTAAATTCTTGAATCATCAAAAAAGGAAAAATGAAATCAGATTTAAGTTGTGATGTCTCTGCATGCTGCTCACGTTTAAAAAAATAATGGCCTGATGGAGATATGCATGCACGCACACTTCCCCTTCAGTTTGTTTCCAAAAAACAATCTGTGTGTGATTGATTTTGACAACTTAAAAATACATTTTTCCCGCTCTAGGATGTGGGTTCAGAGCACAGGCAGAGAAAAAAAAGCTTGTAAAGCTTCTCAAATACAAGCGTGAACACACCCAAGTATCAACTTTCAGACATTTTAAACCCACTTAAGACAACTTTGTATTGATTTCCTTTGTAAAGACAAAGGACCCAATCCATGCCAGCAAAAATTACTCCATAGAGTAACTGAGACCCTGCATCCTCATGTAAGGACATAGCATTTAGCTTTTCTGCAGCTTATACTTCATGTTGCTGAGCACAGGCCTGTCTGTGGTACCACTGTGGTGCATTGCAAATAAGAGTTTGGGACTCATGAGGTTAATCTTCTGCCTGTCAGCAGGTTTATCGTATTTTGTTACTAGAAGGCAACCAAGTAACAAACAACAATTCTGTGAAGATATTAATTAAATGCCATGGCTGGTGTCACAAACCTGAGGTGGCCCACGTTGTAGAACTTGCTGGCACCATCCGTGCTCCGCACCACCTTAAGGCAGAAGGCTGGCTGAAGGTGTCGGACTTCCAGCAGCACCAGAGCCAGGTACTGGATGAAGAGCAGCGCATCCACCAGCGAGGCAGCATACTCCACAATCCCCCTATAGTCCCGTTCTCTGGGCTCCAACACACGCACGCCGTAGAACAACCAGTACGACGCCACAAACAGGAACACCAGCACCATCAGGAGGCAGCGGAAGACAAAAAAGCGCGGGAGGGTGGCGCGGGGAGGGCGGAGGAACAGAGCCCAGGAGGAGATGAGCAGGACCAAGAGCTTGAAGGCCAGGGAGACGTAGAGGCCCTCGCAGGGCGTGCCGCAAGGCTCGAGGGCGTCACGCCACAAGACCTGCGGCAGGATGAGGAAGGCTAATGGCGTGACCAGAGCAAAGAAGCTCAGGCAGCCTCCCAACGCCGGACCCACAAAACGTTTGCACTCCAGTGGAGTTGACTCCTCCAAATCTTTGGTGACGCGGGTCAGGTCCTCGTTTGAGATGCTGTGCTCTGAGGTGCCAGTGACCACAGTGGTGGTCTCTCCCCAGTTGTCATCCTGCACAACAAAGAAAACAATTAGTCATTTTAATCTCTATGCTGAGTAATATATTAAGTTCACCCCCAGCTTTGACTTAAGTTGCACCTCTTCAAGAGGCTAAGAATGCTGGGATTGTATGTGTGAACAGGAGTTTGAACACAAGATGAACACAAGATGTTTACATGAAAGGGTTGGTTGGAAGGCAACTATAATCTGAGTAAGCACAAATGAACAGTTGTTGCTTTTTTAAAAATCTTTTTTGAGCAGCTGAAAAGCCGTCAACTTAAAATTAGAAGCTAAGGGCTCAAGCGCTGAACATCTTTGTCCCAAGAGCGATTGCAGGTTGGTTAAGCTTTAATGCAAGTGCCCCTTTACTATTTTAAGAATGACTCTTCACTTCATCTGAGAACAAATACGTCCCCTCGGGCTCCTTAATGAAAGCACGTCTCTGCACTTTAAATAGTGAAGTCAGATTATTTTAAAGTCAGCACCTGCTCTCTCCTCGCTAACTGACGGGGCAGAAAAGGACTGAAACGATATGATTAACGGCTCTAAGAAAACACACTTGAGCTGTTGAAAGAATCTGAGAGACCACTTTGAATGGATAACAAAGGAAAACTGATGGGGAATTCAGCTTTTTGACCTGAATAAAGTAGAGAGGTCAAAGTTTTGGTTTAAAGGCCTATTTGTAGTTCAGCTGAGTGTTTGACTTTAATTAAACATAATATTTTAGCATGTACAGCTCCGGGGTAATCTGAGCCTATCAACTTTGTCAATGTTAGTGACATGCAGCTAAAGGACCGAAAGTCGCTAACATTTTTTGAACAAATTGTAGTTTTAAGAAACACTGGTGGGATAAGATATGCACAATGTTAACCATTAATTAGAATAATGACTGGTGATTAAATGAGGTCAAAGATGACGATGCATGAACAAAAAAAAGTAGAAAACACTGTAACTGACCCTGTCATCTCCGCGGGTCGACTCTGCATCGAGAAGCGGCTCTCCGGGTGTTTGGATGGTGACCGATTTGTCTCCACGACTGCCGCTGTCTCGACTCTTGGAGCGGTGACGGTCCCGTCGATCCCTGAAGACAAAGAAATTATATATCATAAATGGCTACATTAGTCACAGACGCATCGAATGATGTGATGGTGTTACACCATGACGCAATCTGCTATTAGTTATCCAATTTTTATTTATTGTCTTAGCAGATTGTCTGTCAAAGTTGCTGTGGTGAATCGTTGTGACAGAAGAACACACAGTTGTGGTCAGAAGTTTACATACACTCATCGTGGGCATGAATGTCATGGTAATTTTGGGCTTTTAAAGAGTTTTTTAACTGTTATTTTTCCAGGCTGGAATCATTATACAACAAACATCTTTAGCGGCTTAAGAAAACTATTTATTTTAGATTTTTGTGCTAATCCACACAAACTCAAATATACACACACACCTCACTAATATTTGGTTAAATGTCCCTTAGCAAGCTCGACCTCAACCAGACACTTTTGATAGCCATTAACCAGAATTAAGCTTCTGCCATAATTCTGGTTTGTTATTTGACCACTCGTCTTGACAAAACTGATAAAGTTCAATTAAATTGGTTGGGTTTTTTTTTCTTCTTTTTTTTTTTGTTGCATGGACCCAGTTTTTAAGCATAATCAACAAATTTTCAATAGGGATTAAAGTCTTTGGCAAGTCTGTTCCAGAATCTTAATATTAGCATCCTTTATTCCCTCCAAAACCGGCTTTGATGTGTTTGTCCTGTCAGAACATCCAGATGTGTCCAAGTTTCAACCCTCTAGCTGTTGATTTAATGTGAAGTTGAAGATTTCATAAGTAGCCTTCCTTGTTCATAATTCCACTTT